CATAGACCTATCATCCAAGCCCATAATTTTGAGACTAAGTCAGTAATCATTCAAATGATTAAGACTTCAATTCAGTTTGGGTGATTGTCGAATAATGATTCTAATGCAGATATTATGAATTTCTTAGAGATTTATGATACATTTAAGACCAATGGTGTTTCTACTGATGCCATTAGATTGAGGCTTTTCCTATTTTGATTGAGAAACAAGGTAAAGAATTGGTTGAATTTGCTTCCAGCTAGTTCCATTAGTACTTGGGATGATTTGGCTCAAAAATTCTTAGCTAAACTCTTTCCACTAGCTAAGACAGCAAAGTTGCGGAATGATATCACCTCCTTTATGCAATTTGATTCAAAATTATTGTATGAGTTTTGGGAAAGGTATAAGGATTTACTTAAACAACGTCCTCACCATGGATTACCTAAATGGCTACAAGTACAAACTTTCTATAACGGTTTGTTGGGACCAATTAGAGCCACTATTGATGTTATAATAGGAAGGACACTAATGGGTAAATATATTGATAAGGCTTATGATTTGTTAGAAGAGATAGCTTCCAACAATTACCAATGGCCATTTGAGAGATTAGGTCCAAGAAAAGTTCCTGGTATCCATGAGCTTGATACAATTAATGTTTTGACTGCACAGATGGCTATTCTCACAAAGAAAATTGATACATTAAGTGTTCATGCTATTTAAAGTCCTTTTACAACATGTGAGTTATGTAGAGATAGACATTCTAGTGACCAATGTCCTATTACTATTAAATCTGTACAATTTGTTGAAAATTTTAATAGACAACAGAATAATTTGTATTCCAATAACTACAATTCTGGTTGGAGAAATTATCCTAATTTATCATGGAGTAAAAACCAAGGATCCTCATCACCAGCAATGCAAAATTTTCCTTCTGGTTTTCCACCACAAGCTAATGCTCTTATGCTTGAGAAAAAGCCAATAATGGAAGAAATGTTAATGCAATACATGGCTAAGAATGATGATATCATCTAGAGTCAAATAATATCACTTACAAATCTTAAGACTCAAATGGGTCAATTAGCTAATGCCATTAATAGTAGACCTCAAGGTATTTTACCTACTGACACTAAATCCATTCCTAAAAAAGAAAGTAAGGAGCATTGTAAGGCAATTCCATTCAAAAGTGGTAAAAAAGTAAAAGGCAGTAGTCTGCAATCTAATGATCCAATTAAGCTTGCTAAAATAAGGTTGAAAGTGACAATGTTGAAAAGGAAATTGTGGTTGAAAATTCTAATGATCAAACTTGAAGAGAGAAACCTTAATTAAATCTGTCACAACCACCACCACCTTTCCCTCAACATCTTCAGAAATAGAAGCTTGACAAGCAATTTCAGAGATTTCTTGATGTATTTAAAAAACTTCATATTAATATTCCTTTTGCTGAAGCTTTAAAGAATATGCCAAGCTATGTGAAATTCTTGAAAGATATGTTGACCCAAAAAAGGGAAATTGGGTGAATTTGAGACTATTGCATTTATTGAGGAGTGTAGTGCCATAATTCAGAATAAGCTTCCACCAAAGCTTGAAGATCCAAGTAGTTTTACCATTCCATGCACTATTGGTACATTGTGTTTTGCACAAGCTTTATGTGATTTTAGTGCAAGTATAAATTTGATGCTGCTGTCGATTTATCGACAACTTGGTTTGCAAAAGATTAAGCTACTTATGTGACTTTACAACTTGCTGATCGAAGCATCACTTACCCAAGAGGTATTATCAAAGATATCTTGGTACAAATTGGTAAGTTTATTTTTCTAGTAAGTTTTATTGTGCTTGTCATGTAAGAAGATCGTGAAACACCAATCATTCTTGAGTGACCTTTCTTAGCTACTAGTAGAGCTCTAATCAATGTTGAAAAATGAACTTACCTTAAAGGATCAAGACCAACAAGTAACTTTTAAAACTTTTAAAGCATTAAAATTTTCAAAAGATTCTTATGGGTGTTTTGCAATTAATGTGGTGAATAGTGTCACCAATGAGGTATTTATGAAAAATTATTCTAATGATCCACTTGAGACTTCCTTAATATCTACTTGTGAAAGTGATGATGATAGAGTTATTGAATGTACAAAATTATTGGATGCCCTATCACACCTTATAAAACCTTAATTTGAGTCCTTGGAATTACCAACTTCTTCATCATTACCAGCCAAGCGTTCCATTGAAAAGCCAGCCACACTTGATCTTAAGTCATTGCCTAATCATTTAAGGTGCATTTTTTAAGGAAATTTATCTACTTTACCAATCATTATTTGTTCCTCTCTTTCTAGCATCTAGGAAAACAAGCTCCTTTGTGTGCTAAGAGAATATAAAATGGCAATAGGGTGGACCATTACAGAGATCAAAGGAATTACTCTATCTATCTGCATGCATAAGATCTTTCTTGAAGACAACCATAAAGAAACCATGGAGCATTAACGTTGGTTAAATCTAATCATGAAAGAAATTATTAAAAAGGAAATTATTAAGTGGTTGGATGCTGATGTTGTTTATCTTATCTCAAATAATACATCGGTAAGTCTAGTCTAATGTGTACTAAAGAAAAAAGGATGACTGTAATTTCCAATGCCAACAATAAGCTCATTCCTACAAAAATTGTGACTTCATGGATGGTTTGCATGGACTATTGAAAACTCAAAAATGTTACTAAAAAGGATTACTTTCTTCTTCCATTTATTGGTAAGATGCTTAATAGACTCGTTGGTGAGTCTTTCTACTGCTTTTTGAATGGTTATTCTAGGTAAAACCAAATTGCTATTGCACCAAAAGATTAAGAGGAAACCACCTTCATTTGTCCTTGTGGAACTTTTTCTTTCTAAAGAATGCCATTTGGACTTTGCAATGCTCCAACTACTTTTCAAATATGCGTGATGGTTACTTTCGTTGATATGATCGAATAGTGTTTAGAGGCATTTATGGATGATTTTTAGTCATTGGAGAATTTTTTGATGGTTGTTTACAAAATCTTATTAGAGTGCTTAAAAGATGCAAAAAAACTAACTTCATGTTGAATTGGGAAATGTAACGACCTCTTCCCTCGATCGTTACCAGTGTTCAAGACTTGCGAGTAAACCTGTCAAATCCCGAACAAGCCTTAAGTAAACTTTCGAATAATTTGAACTCCACTCATAATTTTTAATGCCACAGTTCGCTCAAACCAAATAAACACAATATTTGAATCATGACATTTAGATACCAATAATTAAGTTTGATAACTCCACAGCATGTTCAATGTAATATGCAATAATCATTACACAACCTCAAGTTTTGACAAATACATTTCCATAAACTATTACACATCATAAGCTTGACTATCCAACATAACATGACCTCTAGGCAGTAGAGCAACTTAGAGTGGAAGGCTAAAAGATGCCATTACCTACGTTGCAACAAGTCTCGATGTGCTGAGCAATACACCTGAGCTAATTACTTATCTACAAAAGGAAATGAATGGGGTGAGTCTCACAGACTCAGTGATCATCAACCTTGTGAATAGGGTGTAGATGGGAAACAAGCGCAAGGCAAAAAATTTGAATAATAACAATATGAGAATGTGTATGCAAACCTCTTAACTCAAAAAGGTTGTTTATGCCTTATACGTAAATCAAGTAAGTTAATGCATGATAGTCATTTAAATCAGATATCAAACCCATACAAGAAAATATCCTCGTCGTTGAAACCATTTAGCTGCAAATCAGTATAGGTGCAAGATTTTCCATTTTTAAATTCATTCAGAAACTTTTCTCAAACTAGTCTGTCATAAACACGCATGTTCCCGTGAAATACAACATTAACAAACTTATATGCAAATCCATAAGTCATCTCGTGCTCAAGAAGTTAAATCCAATGCCATCGTATAAGTAAGGGAACTCTGCAAAAAACTACATACGTGAAAACCCAAAGAGATATCACTCTCAAGTAGGAATAGAATAGTATAACTTGTGGATCTGCTTCCACATAATAACATCTGGGAGCTCCACTCCACCGGATCCCCATAGCCATGGCAGTCTCAATGATGTTGGCTAACATCGGAGAACTCAGGCGGTCGCAACTACATATATCACTGGTGGCCTAGCCATAAACAATCACAGACCATGGCCCCAGGCATGTCTAATAGCCCATCAGCGACCCAAAGGTTCTCTAGCTAGAGCAATGGGCTTACTCTCGAATCTCCCGGTTTAATAAAACCATTTAAAAGTCAAATCAAGTTTTCAAATGATCATTTCAAATCATTTTCAAAATACCAAGCATGGTAGTGTACTAAAACTCTTTTTGTATCTATTTGCAATGCAAAACCTTTTTCTTGAGGTTTAGATATCAAATTAGCATGGTGAATACTAAATTCAAACATGAATGCTCATCATACAATCTATAAGACACATTTTTTTGACATAAATTATATTGAAAAGCTTGTTTCTCGGTTTTTAAAATCCTTTATATATATAACTCGTATATATATACTCAGAAAAAGTTCAAATACTTTAAAATTCACAAACTCCTAGAATATCTACCAGCTCATGATTTCCACAAACTTGTATTTAAAGTAAATCAATTCATATCTATAAATATATATATATATAATTATGGGATTATTTTTAAATGGACACCCCCTACTCACCTCATAATAATGGGACACTATGTTGCTATTAACTTAAGCACATATCTAGCTAATTTCTACTTGCTAATCTCTCGTTACGTCCTCCGGCACTCCATCACAACAACTTTGCTTACTATACTCTTCCTAGCATCCATTCAAACCCAATTTATTTAATTATACTCATAAACGGTAGCATATCAACCAACAATCCTTAACTAAATCTCATTGTTTTATCAACAATACTCACAAACATTTATCACACAATTCATACACTTTAACCAACCAAAGTTTATACAATACAATATAGGCATTTTGCATGCTTACCTCTTGGTTTAAGATTGAATTTCCCAAATTTGATTCACAACTTCTTCACTTCTAAGATTACCTTTGCTGCTACAAACATAATCAATCAATATACATCTTATTTCTCCTTTTTACTTATGATTTCAAAACTAAAACACTTACCCATTGCTCATTTAGCTCCAAAATCACCATGGACTCTAAAATCTACTTACATGCATGCCTCGGGTCCTTTGAATCCTTGTGGGTTCTTGCTACCACAAACAAAATCACACTTTAAAATTTATTTACAAAGCATGCATTTCATGAAAAATGAAAATCTCTTTACTTACCTTGTCTCGGGTTTACTAACCCAACCTTTCCTTTCTTTTTCTTCTTTCTCTCTTTTCCTTCCTCTTTCTTCCTTTCCTCTCCTTTCCTCTTTTCTCCTTGGTAGTGGATGGATCTCTCAAGGCCGAGTCTTGAAAATGCCTTTGGTTTTCCCCATTTTGTGCTTACATGGGTAGATTGCCCAAGACTTCATGCTTTTTACTTTACTTTCCTTCATTTTCTCTTTATTCTCTCTCATGGGTGGATTGCCCAAGGTTGCATGTCTTATTGGCATGTTTCTTTTCTCTTTTATGTGACAAAAGCACAAGGCAAAAGCCTTGAAAATTTTTCCACCCGTCACACCCATTTTCGATACCTTTTTCCATTTTTATTTTCTTATTTCTTTATTTGTTCCTTATTCTCATTGGACCAACTCAATCCCCACTCACATTTCATGCACACATTACCTTTTTTGCTCATTGGTCCAAAATCTATCCCAATTGCTTTCCATCCACCACCTCATTTTCTTACTTTTTCACTTTTATTTCCTTTGCCACCTTTTTCTACCAATTACACTTCATACACAACTTTCTTTATAGTTTAATTGGCCATTTGTTACACCATTCAAATCACATGTATACCTCATATTCCACACAATCTAAATTTCCTTGATTAATAAATTCCCATTTAACTTCAAATGTTGAGAATTTCACATAAGTCCTCTAACTTTTTCTTATTTACCGTGCGA